TCCTAAATGACAGTGAATTGAGCAGTGAAATTGCAGGGGAATGATCTATACCAGTGATGGCGAAACTTTGAGCCCGAGTGCCCAAACCGCAATACACGCCAACTTTTTTTTCCTTCAAAGTGCCAACACGGCAATTAAACCTGAATACTGAGGTTTAAGTTTAGAAAAAACAACTTGTACAGTTGTCTGAGCTAATTAACAACTTTGTTTCAAAAGAAGAACACAACAGAGAGTTCAATGATACAAATAGATAAAATTAAGCTTATTTATTAGTATCTCCAACAAATGCAATACATACACACAGACTGCTGAACACATTCACACCGGCCGCTGAATACACACACACTACATTAAGGGGTGCAGTAAATGTGTTTGTGTGTAAGGGTGTGGAGTGCTGTGTGTGTGTGTGTGTGTGTGGGGGTAGGGGTGGTGTGGTGGGGTTAGGGGTACATTAAAAATATATATATTTATTCTGTATCCCCCCCCCCCCTTCCTCTTACCTTTGGTGAAGGAGTGGGACACACACACACACACACACACAGCTATCCATGGTGGTCCAGTGGTGGTAAGTAGGTTTGTGTGAAGCAGCTCTCCTGTACTCCTGTGCAATGCTGTGTGGAGCATTGCCATGGTAACGCACGGCAACGCTCCAAACAGCCTCGCGCGGGAGGACAGGAGAGCTGCTTCCTGGAGCCCTCCCCCTGCCTCCCGACACGGAAGCAGAGTAGGCGCCTGCTGTTTTGGGCAGGCACCTACTCTGCAGACAGCCAGCGGCCCCCTCTCCCAGCGACCTATGGCCGAGTGCCCACAGAGGGGGCCCGGCGTGCCACAGGCTCGCCATCACTGATCTATACACTAAAACTGCGTTATTTAGCTAAAGTAATTTAGGTGACTATAGTGTTCCTTTAAATTGTCCATTTAACATTTTGTTACATTACTAGATATTGCACATTATAGATCACTGGAATATTGACATTTATTTTTTTACAGCTGATTCAATTATCCCTGCTACTTAGTGTGAAAATATTCAAGACAATAACAAAAGATTCAGATTTTTTTTTTTTTTTTTTGCAAAAAGTGATCTGTACACAGTGGTTGAAAACTTTCTTGACTTGATGGGTTCAACTCAAAGCATTAAAGCAAAATAAAAATGACATTTGTCACATGAAAATCAGCCTCCTTACCATTTATTTATTTTATAAAGCAAAGACAGGTAATCCTGAAAAAGATTATTTTTCTCTCTGCTTCATGCAGTCCAGGTGCAAAGAGCTGATATGACTGCATCACATTCCCTCATATGCCAAGTGCAGAGCTGCACACGGATGGAACAGATAAGAATTAATAGCATGTCCAGACGCACAACACTTCACAGAGCTAGCTTCAAAACCAGAATATTTTCCCAGAAATGTTTCTTACCTACAAACTTAACTCAATTATCACCATGGCTTCAGACCATTTTGTTAGCAGTTATTTATATATATATTTATTTCTAAATGCATTCAATTCACTGTATGTATGAATCCTATAAATACCATGTATTCAAACATTCACATTTAAAAAAAATAATCTGTAGATTGAGAAAGTGCCAAGGACTACTGTTCAATGAAAAAGAAGGAGCAGGTACAAAATTGTGCATTGAAAAGGGAAATTGAGAAAAACATGGACAATAAATTGTGTTTGTAAATCCTTGAAAAGACGTCACCTTGAGGATGTGGCAAAAAGTAAAAAATATAACAGAACATTCCATTTAAATAAATAAATAGAAATAGTATGGTGTATACCAAAGGGTCCTATTTTAGGAACTTAAATTATTAAATTTTAAGTATAGCTTTACAGCAGATGTCATCCACTTGATAAAATGTCATCTTCTTGCATGATGCACAGTGGTAAATTAAACATGCATTTGTCAATGATTGCAGCAGTCTTGCATACTTTATCCAAAGAGGCCTGTATTACTATGAGAGCATGAGAAGAAGATATTAGGTGAGAGCTGCTGGAACTCTAGTTAAAGAGGATGGCACTGAAATGAATCACTTCTTGATTTATACATTTAATTTTACAAGTTTAAAATGACAAGTTTTAACATCAACATGTACATTCCACACAGGCATGGAGTCTTATCGAAGATATTTAGCAACAAATTATACAGAAGATTTATTTTCCTTTAATGGGACTTTCCTAATAGTTTAATTTTTTTTTTTAAATGCTTTAGAAAGGTAAGCATGGATAAACTTTAAAATAAGATAGGTCATATGCATCCAAGGTCAGTTGCGTATACAAACAAATCTCAGAGGCTGCAAAGTACATGTCCAAGACATGGTTTGATTACACCACTAAAATACTGTGTAATGTCATGGAAATGGCACACTAAGGAGGCTATGCTAAAGAACGCAAAGTTATTGTTTAAAGATATTTCATTTAACAGATTTTTCTATTGTTCTGCAGAGTTGCAGAACAATACCAGAAAATGTAAGCAGAATGGTGACAGAGTGAATTACATTTACATTTTGTGTTTAAAGGAAAAAAGCTAAGGGTTTATACGATGTGTATTAACACTGGCAGCAAATAGGTATCGATAACATTTATCTGAAGACAACTGTGCCATTTTTTCCCTCTCTTTTTCCGTTAAATGTCCTGTATACCCCATCTACTATCCACAAATATTGGGTTGAAGTAGCACACAAACTGGACTAGATCGTTATTTGCCAAATTCCCCACTATCATCTCTCATTTTAGAGGGCACTGTGCTGCATAGGTCCTTCCCATTTACACTGAATTTAGGGGATTACTTTTGGGGAGAAAAACAAATACCAGGGTGTGTTACATGATTTCCAAATTAAGACTCCCTAGGCAGGTCTCCATGTCTTTTTTCAGATAAAAGGCAGTGTTTACATTACAGCCTAGGGATACTTCCAATAATCACTCCTCATATGGCAACTAGAGAGGTTTCCTGGGGAAGCAGTGTCTCCACCCTCTGCATGGAGACACTGAACATTCCTCGTGGAGATGCATTGATTTAATTCATCTCTATGAGGAGATTTTGATTTGCCAGGGCTGTTTGGCTTGTGCTGGCTCTGCCCCTGATCTGCCTGCCTGAAAATCTAAGCCAATCCAATGCTTTCCTATGTGAAAGCATTGAGATTGGCTCAGAACACCACTTCTTATGATGTCAGCCAAGCAGGCAGATTAGGGGCAGAGCCAGAAGCAACAGACTGGAATAAAGGTAAAATTTTACTATAATGAGGAGGGCAAGGAGGGATTGGGGGCGCCTAGATGGTGTTTTTAACACTATAGAGTCAAGAATATATGTTTGTGTTCCTGACCCTATAGTGTTTCTTTAATTACTCTCTGTAGGTAATTAAGTGTGGGTCATGCTGTAGTGTGCCTGCCTGAGCACAAAGCTCATAAGTAGTTGTAATATTCAGCTATGCATAGTACTACAGTTATAAATATATGTTTACTAAATTCTCAATAATTGGCTGTTGGGTAACAGCAATTATTGAGGATACAAAGCAAAGACAAAATACAGATACAATTAGAGAGAGAGAACTTTTTTTTTGTCTTCTAAGGTTATACACAATACTAATATATATGTAAAAAAATAAATTTACATGCTAGAATTTTTTTACACAAGTAATAGGCTTGTGAACTAATGACCATTTCCTTCACATATCTACATGTAGAGTAAATGTATCAACTTTCTAGTTCTCTACTACTAGCCAGGCCTAAAAGGTACTTGCTACTAGACTTGAGGAAAATTTTGGTCCAACCAGTTTGTTCAAATCAAATGCCTTTTAATACATGTCTGGATGAATTGATCCGTCCAGATTTACTGTGGAGTCTTCTAAAATGACTAAGACTCCACAGGTAAATCTTTGATGAATCGATCTAATTGCGCACTTGATTGGCACAGACTTCAGTGATGAACACACTCATAAAAAGCTTCTACTTTTAAACAGCTCGATGGTACACTTCCTGTAGTTGAAGAGTGGGGTTCAAGAGTTTGGCATCTCTTAGAAATTTCATTATTTTCTATAAAAACATACATAAAATGAATTTGAATTGGAAATTTAGTCATTGATAGGGTTAGAAATAATGAATTTTAAGTGAAATAATTGTGCCATTAAAACTTTGCTTTCAAAGACTCTGCCAAGTGCAGGACTTACAGCTTTGCAAACCTTTGCCATTCAAGTTAATTTGTTGAGGTCATGAGTTACTCGATTTCAGCACAAAGGGGCCTCCGATGGAGGAGCTAATGCGCATGTGCAGTGAGTGCTGCAAGCTTATTAGGCCCATCCCAGAGGAAAGCATTGACGCAATACTTTTCCATGGGGATTTCACTGATGCAGAGCATGTATAGCATCATTTAGGTGACCTAGAGTCCGGTAAACTGGTGGTGGATGTCTGGTAGACAATCGCCAGAGACTTAGTCTGGCAATGTAAACTTTGCAGTTTCCTAAAAACTGCAATTATTTACATTGCAGGACCAAGGGGGATGAGGACAGTGCACCTAGACCACTTTAATGAGCTGAAGTGGTTACTTGGGATTTACCTATGGAGTCTTATTCAATGAATAAAACTATACAGGTAAATTGCAGGCGAATTGATTTGTTCAAATGTGTGGATTAAAAAGATTCTGACCAATCGGCCAAAACTATTGCACAAGTCCACTGAATACTGTGGTCAAGGCAGTTAATGCTGGTCAACAAGTTGTTGTATATAAAAGGTGCATGTAAGTAGGAAATACATAACTTAAATCTTTTTCATCTTATATTTGTTATTCTACCAGATAAATAGTGATGCAGAATGATGCATTCTACAAGTAAAAAATATCAAACAACCCAGCAAGGAGCAAGCTTTAAAATAATAAATAAAGTCCATGTAATTAATGTGACCCTTGCTATGCAAATCAGAGAAAAGGCTTGGAGATAAAATGAAGTGGTTAGAGACTAGTTTATTCTTGGCTATAATTAACGTAACTCAATTTTAACACATGCACACAAAAAAGGTAGAATTTACATAAATGATATAAAATAAATTATATTTTGTAAATGGTCATTTCAACTTAAAACATTTCAGTATAACTTGATAAAATAACTACATTTATATAAATGCACAGATCATTGCATATTTTCGGTTTGACTTTGTTTATTGTAGTCTTTCTACCTTCACTTAATTCCATAGTATAATTCAACAAATATCTGAACAATACGTTTTTATTCAAACATAGGCATATGAATCTACATTAGTGATGTCTCGAACGGTTCGCCGCAGACTCCAGTCAGCAGACACATTCCAGCCAATCAGCAGCAGACCCTTCCTCCCAGACCTTCCCACCTCCTGGACAGCTCACTAAGAATGCAGCTTCAAAATGGATGTTGTCCAGGAGATGGGAGGGTCTGCTGCTGATTGGTTGGAATGTGTCTGCTGACTGGAGTCTGCGGCGAACCGTTCGGGACATCACTAATCTACGTCTATCTCAATATAAAAATACATATAAATCTAGAGGAGGAAAATAATCAACAATGTCTAGACAAACAAACAAAAGAATGGGGTAGAAACCCAACTCAACAAAAAAGTGGGTGGGGTCCACTCACATTCACAGATATCTCCTAATTTAAACGTTACAAAACATGGTAAGAACCTTTATTATCAAACTGAGTACAAATAGATAAATACTAAATATCCCCCCCCCCCCAAAAAAAAACAGAAACTAACACACCAAAACCAGCCTAAAAAAAAATGGTGTCAGTGGAGCAGGGCCGGTGCTTGGATTTTTAGGTACATAGGCGAAGATGCATTTTTCCGCCCCCCCCCCAAAAAAATCTTCACCTATGTGCCTCTTAACCAGCCCCTCTCCCCTCCCCGACCATTAGTGGTCCCTTCCGTTCCCTGTCCCTTAGTGTTCTTCTCCCCTTTCCCCCTCCCCCCTTTTTTCCCTGTCTCTTGGTGTTTCTCTCCCATTCCCTCCCTGTCCCTTGGTGCACCCCCCACCCCTTTAGTGGTCACACTTCCTGGTGTGTGCCTCCTACCTCTATTGTTGCATTGCCGAGCGGAGCAGATCCCCTAAAGGAGCTTCAGTTTTCTGTACCCGGACGGACTGACAGGGAGTGCTCTCTCTGTGAGCACCTCCTGTCAGTCTGGCCAGGTACAGGAAACAGAAGCTCCTGTACCGCGCTCTGCTCCACTACACTCTGTACACACTGACAGTCACACACTCAATGACAAACACACAGACGCCACTGACAGACACAGACTCATTGATCTGACACACACTCATTCATTGACACTGACAGACCCACACTGATTGACACTCATTGACAGACACACTGATAGTCACACACAGACTCAATGACAAACATACTCTCACTGATTTGACAGACACACACTCATACACTGACAAACACACTCATCATACACTGACAGACACACTCATACACTCACATGCACACACACTCATACAATCACTCACAGACACACAGACAGTCACTCACTCACAAACACACACTGAAGCACACAGTCACTCACAGACACACACACACACACACACACTGTCACTCACTCAGACACACACACATGCTGTCACTCACAGACACACGCTCAGTCACTTAGACACACACACTCATACAATCACTCACACACACACATGCACACACACTCATACACTGTCACTCACAGACACACGCTCAGTCACTCAGACACACACATGCACACACTCATACAATCACACACACACACTGTCACTCACAGACACACACGCTGTCACTCACAGACACACACGCTGTCACTCACAGACACACGCTGTCACTCACAGGCACTGTCACTCACAGACACACACGCTGTCACTCACAGACACACACAGAGACGCACACAGTCATTCATGGACACACACACTGTCACTCACAGACACACACAGACACACGCTCAGTCACTCACAGACACACACACTGTCACTCACAGACACACGCTCAGTCACTCACAGACACACACACACTGTCACTCACAGACACACACACACACAGACAAACACACTGTCACTCACAGACACACACACACAGACACACACACTGTCACTCACAGACACGCACACACAGACACACACACTGTCACTCACAGACACACAGACACAGACACACACACTGTCACTCACACACACACTGTCACTCACAGACACACACACACAGACACACACACTGTCACTCACAGACACACAGACACACATCACATACATTCACTAATAATTTTATAAATAAACATTTTCCACCCAGCCTCCCTACCTGGAGAGCTGGTGTGGATGCTGGATCGGTCCCTGAGGGCTGGGGCTGCTGAGAGGCGCGCGGCAGTGCTGTGATCAGGCGCGCGAGGGAGCTCTAATCTCCATCCTCTGCTCCCTCGCGGGCTGCCTACTGATGACGTCATATTCCGGCTCCCGCGGCATCAGTAGGCAGCGCGCGAGGGAGCAGAGGGTGGAGATTAGAGCTCCCTCGCGCGCCTGATCACAGCACTGCCGCGCGCTGTGCCGGGGGTCGAGATGGTGGCCTGGCAGGAGGGAGAGCTTCCCTCCTGCCGGTCACTGAAATATTGCGCCCCCAGAGCCCGTGCGCCCTAAGGCGGCCGCCTGTGCCGCCTTATGGACGCGCCGGCCCTGCAGTGGAGCAAAGAAGGGAGAGAAGTAACGCAACAAATGTCCAGACAAATATACACAAACAATTTATAGTTTCATCTACAATATTCAGAATGTTTATTCACTATTTTTCAGAGACTAGCTCTGCAGATAAATACACAGATTCTCAAAATACATTAGTTAGACGAATAAGATTGCATAATGCCAGGGTGTGACCTGTAACATGAAATGAAAGCACCTTTCAATAAAAAAAAAAAAAAAAAAAAGAATTTAAACCATATTTAATGGAATGTAAAAACACAGGTCAGGGTCTTTAAAATTTAATAAAAAAAAAACATTTAAAAAGAATATCACTATATTGACTAGCATGCAAACTGTAGACAACACCATCATATGTTGTTTATTTTTTTCTGCATGATAGTACATTTATAATATGTGATATTACTTTCCATTTGCCACACAGGCTATATAGTGAGGGTAGAGGTGAAGGCTTACTTTTATACAATGCCTAGGTTTCCCTTTAAATTAATGGGAGATACTGTAGATATAGAGCTTCAACTGGCTTGAAATCAATGTCATAGAAGCCACTTCAGCTCCCTTTCATTTCTATAAAAGAAACAATGCAAATGGGAAAGGGAATTAGCCCAGAACTACAGCCACTTTATCATTGTGAATTAAGTAACAGGAGGAAGGTCATGACCTTGGAGGAGGAGGGAGGGGGGAAGACTTGCAGAAGTGAACTTTTCATATTAACTATTAGCTTTAAAATATAACTTAAATTTTGAAATTCACTTAGACTTCTCAAAGTGGCTAAACTGAAAACCTAGCGTTCAGTTTTACTATTTTGTTTTTACATTTACTTTGAATTCTCACATTAGTAAATAATCCTGTAAGTGTTAAATACTTTTATGCAGAATCCACATAATGTATCACTTTAGAAGCAGAAAACATGTACAATTAAATTGTTAGCAGGTTTTTGTCTCCACACCCTGACTCCTCTCCTGCAACTGTCAAAAACAACCTACTGAGCCCTCAGTGAATACATTTCTAGCAACCTACTTCATTACCCCTACTTTTACCCTTTGTGTCACTATACCCCACTCCCCCTAGCATGTATGATCATTGAGCAGGGCCCTCCACCTCTCTGTTCCTGTGCATCAAACTTGTTGGTTACAAATAAGTGTCTGTTAGTCCACCCATTTTACAGCGTTACGGAATTCGCTGATGCTATATAAATAAAATAATAATCTGACATTTACTACAATCTACTAGTAAGAAAAACTGAAACCAAATTTAATTTTGTTTTATTTATTGATTTTTTTTTAGTTACATGTGTGTATCAACTTTAAAACGTGGTGCTTGGTAGGAGAACCATATCTTATTCTCCGTGTTCATGTCTAGGAATAATTCTGCAGTAACAATTAACTTTTTTTTCTTGACAAGATGTACACCACTATTGATCTGGGAGTATTGATTTCCTAATAGGAGGTGTTTATTTATCTTTTTATTATTTAGAATTGGATCTGAAAAGGCAGTGTTTGCATGAAAATGCCTGAAGGGAATGATTATACTCATCAGAACAAATCCATTACATTGTACTTGTTTTGGTGACTATAGTGTCCCTTTAAGATAAGCACAGCTATAATGATGTTTTCAGTAAAGTTAGTGAGGTTTGCATTACTTCTATCCATTTTTGTCTCCTCTCTCGTTCTTTGTGACCTTTTCCTTTCACACTCAGGTGTTTTGTGGTTTTTTATAGAATGGCTCCATTTTCACCTTTCAAAAATCAGATATAACCTGTGTTAAAGGACCACTTTAGGCACCCAGACCACTTCAGCTCAATGAAGTGGTCTGGGTGCCAGGTCCCTCTAGTGTTAACCCTGCAGCTGTAAACATAGCAATTTCAGAGAAACTGCTATGTTTATACTAAGGGTAATCCAGCCTCTAGTGTCTGTCTCACTGACAGCCAATAGAGTCACTTCCGCGCTTCTCAATGTGAAAATCACAGTGAGAAAACACTGACCGTCCATAGGAAAGCATTGAGAAATGCTTTCCTATTGGCGGTTTGAATGCGTGCATTCTGCACTGACGTCGGCAGGAGGAGGAGAGTTCCCCAGCGCCGAAAGGAGCCGGGCACTGGAGAAAGGTAAGTGTTTTAACCCCTTCAGCCCAGCGGGAGTGGGACCCTGAGGGTGGGGGGACGGACCTAAAGACCCTATAGTGCCAGGAAAAAGAGTTTGTTTTCCTGGCACTATAGTGGTCCTTTAACTGTGGTCTTTGCTTCACTGCCTTTAGACTTCCCAGTTCTGCATGTTTTGTTAAAAAGGAGCAGTTCACGTATTGATACATGGCTTCTATGCTGTGCAACTATGCTCAGACTACTCAAAATTAAAAAAACATCCTTTTACATTTTTAACACATTATCTCTATAATGCATGAGGGGTCACTGTACATTTGAGTCTATTTAAAATCACTACATACATCTGTTATGGGAGAAGAGTGGATGGCAATCATTTATTTCATTAATTCACTAAAGATGACCAGTGGTTTTCTGGATTACATAAACCACTAGTTGAGATTTCTCAGTTATGGCATTATCGGTGTTGACGTTGGAGGGCATCTTAAATGATGACTGTGAAAAAAAACACAAACAAAAACTTTCTAAGTTCCCATTTTTTTTTATTTTTGCACCCAACAGATCCTAATATCTACAGCATTGCCAGCCTTTGCTCATTCGTTTACGGGCTGAACTGCTTAAGCAAACGTAGAATACTTTCATTAGATATCACAGCACTCCAGCCTCTGCAAACAAGTGTTCAATTATTATTTGTTTTAGACCATGCTAATCATTTATATTTTCCATTTCAACATTAACATTTTTTTACAGAATATACAATTTGTTAAAACAGATCTTCATAAAAAGACATCACAACATAAGGAATAAGTACAGAACAATACTAACTTCTTCCCTGATAATTATGACCCATATTTTGAAGCCTCAAATATTCATTTTAATCATAAAACTTGCACATATATTTTAATCCTTTAAACAGAACCAAATACACCAAGGAGCTTCTTCTCTCCCACAATTATATCCATTAAGTCTGATATAGATATACATATATATATATCTATATCAGACTTAATGGATATAATTGTGGGAGAGTTTTATATATAATATATATATATATATATATATATATATATATATAAATAAAACTTTCAGCAAACAAGTTATTTCTAAATAGATTCGTTTCTAATACTGAAGGAAAATACAAATGTAGTTTTATTCCAGTTTACAATGGTAAAAATATGAATTCACAATGTGTATAAATGAAAGGTAAATACAGGATAAAAGCGGCATTTTAAAAACAAATCATACATTAATAAATAGACAATGAGGAAACAATTGCTTAGCAGCTGGTTTTAAATACCACTGTAGTGGGAAAGAATTTTAAGACCACAAAAAAAAATAAAAAAATAAAAAAATTAAAAATTAAAAAATACTAAACAGATATATATTTTAAGGGCAGGTTAGAAAAGGACAATAATGCACCCAAAACAGAGATCTTGCTGGCTGTGTCGGTGTCAAAAGTAGACTAGGTTTCAAAAACCAAAGAGTAAAAAATGTATTTGCTAAAATATCTTCAAAAATACAGTGTAAAACTAACAAATACCGTAAGTACATTTTGTATTCAGCTCTACTGAAAATGGAAAAAAATGTACTGCATCTAAAAATAACTAACTTGGATGCAGATCAATACCGTGCCATTAAACACAACTGGGTTTAAATATACATGTAAATATATGGATGCAGACAGGCACATACAAAACACTGCCTTTGGTCACTAAAAAATAAATGTGCAACTTCCAGACCCAAGAAAACAAAGTTGCTTGGTCAACAATGCTCTAAAAAGATATAAGGGCAAAAAAGGCAGTGGAGGATGATTGGCACAGCAGAGGAATGAGGAAACTCTAAACAAGGCTTTCAATCAGTGTCCATATCCACCTGCCCATTGGAAACTTATAGGAGTATGTCCTGTGGTTTAAACAGCGAGAGAAAACTGGTCCTGTTCTATGGGCTTTTGTACCCAGGCTCCCAGACCTGCCTTCTGGAACGCTTTGAAGATGCATTCTTTTGCAGACTGATATTCTGTGGCAGACTGCTTCGTGTCATGGTACAAGTTGGGCTTTCCGATTCTGAACCTCAGGTTGGGTGAAAGCTGCACAAGGTAAAGGCAAAACAAAATAATACATAAATAGAGCAAGATACTTGACAGGATGCAAAATGATTCTGAAATATACAAAATAGCAGAGGATGCAAGAACTGAAGATGATTCAATTTGGCTCCTTAGTAGTAAAGATGACATATTGCTTAAATGTTTCAGAAATTTTTCATTTAAATTAAAAACCCATACCCATAATTCTGTACGGGGCAAGGTCCTCCTCTATTGTTTCCTTTCCTTCTCTATTGTTACACCACATCACACCGAGGTCCAATTGAAAGCTTCCAAAAGAGAAGCATTTGATTGAACCATTCTCCCTGGGGTAAGCAAGAGGTCTGTTTTTAATATTTAAATAAATATGGGGGAGGAATAAAAAAAAAAAATGCAGGGAGATGGGAGTGCACTGTGAGAGGGGACACTGAAGCTTCCCCTTGCAGGCATTCACCCAATGATGCCTGCAAAGGTAGAAACCGACCACGTCCGTTGCCAGTGGTCTGTGCATACATGACAAATGTATATTTTGCACAGAATTGAGGCAGCCTGAACAGCGGTCTGGGCTGCCTAAGTCACGTGTGCTAGGGGTGCAAACAGCCTACGGGGCACAAAACTGCAAAAATCTCTACATGAAACACTACACATACCGTTTCCTCCCTACATGACCACTTCTAAAGACAGAAGTGGTCATAGATGTTGGAGTAACCCTTTAATTGCCAAATGTCAGGGATCTAGTGTGAGTGTTTCAATATGCTTTAGTGGAGCTCCAGTGAAAAGCAACTGTGCATATCAGAATATGCAGCACATGTTTGACATGAGCACTCTCAAGGAGTTTTTTGAAATTCAAAAGGTGAATTTCAAATTTGAAGCCAAATAAACCAGACTGTAAAAAACAACAACATAATGTTATATGTTTTGAACTCCGCTATAGGAGCGTAAAATCTGATATTCACTTTGGATTTCTGACAAATAACACAATAGTGAATAACCCTGAATATGTATCGGCAGGGTTAGGTAACATGCAAATAAATATGGTTATTTTCTTGTATAATCTGAGAGGGGGGTTAATGAATTTAAACATACCTTTGAATGAATACGCATCCATCGGCTGTACAAGGCATGCTTACAAAGACGTGATGCACGACCCATTTCATCTTTGCCAGTAGTAGCATTAATAACTTCAAGGCCAGGATCTCCCACTGTCCAGTTAACGCTGAAACTAGGGGCTTTACCAGGCTGCCGTGCTTCAGCATTGCTAATACCTTTAGGAG